GACTCTTTTTCTTTGAAAACTAATTTTTCGAAAATTGCAAGCGTTTAAATTTTTCAGCGCTTTTCTACAACTAAAATATTGAAGATACAGGTTGTTTCCTAGATGAAATGTATTTATCAGGTCACGTTCAATATTTCGAACATATGAGTATCTATTGAGTAATTTTGCGTAAAGTATACTGTTCTTTTAAAATCATTTTGATCACTTTTTTCGTCTTCAAATTTTGTCTTTTTCCCCCTCGTATGTAGGAATGGACTGTCAAATAGTAGTCATGGTCTAATTTTCGGCGCACTCGTCACATGCACATTTTGATCACGACACAAATGAAAGCATTTCATTCAAAAAGAGGTATATGGTATTTAAAAAGAATACGCTAGGACGCTAGGAAAAGATGGAAGTGAGTGCGGTGGACACACCTCAAGCTTCCTAGGGTTAAAATTGCTCCAAACTTTCCAGTGCTTTTGTTTGGTTGTTAGTGACTCCGGGCGCGTCAACTACGGAGATCACTAGTCCCGTAAGTGTAGTACATGTTTTTTCCTCGGGAGACGACGGTAATCTTCCCCGCTGCATGGCGTGATCTGGCGCAGACCTACAATCGGCTAGCGGGGATTCCCTAAACCAGGTATCTCCCAATAGCGAGCACCGCCTCAGCCGGGGCAAGCTCTAAGCACTCGACCGATCTCCCGGCATGTGGTAGTGCATGTTAGTGAGTGTGTGTGCAAGGGGCGAAGATAGTACAAGGAAATGGAAAAAAAGATCGCACACGGTCCATGGCCTGTGCGTTAGTACTTGCTCGGGCATGCGACTAGTATTGATTGGAGAAGCAAAGGATAACTACCAATCAGAACAGACGGCCTTTTGGCGTCTCCAGACTGTGGCTGAATTCGACTTATGTAGTAAGTGTTGGAAATCCTGCCGTTGGGACTTCAAACCTAGAACTACCGATTAGAAGCACTGCATTGACATGAGTTATCCAACCTTATCCACCTCAGCCGGTTTGTATTAAGGAGGAAGTAACAGGATTTCGAAGCTGAATGTTCGGTGTATATGACAATCTGAGTAACTTTATCGCAAGTCGTGCTTAGCACAACAAACTATCTTGAAATGCGCCGCAGGTTTACGTGCAGAGATGTTTAGGATATAGTTCTCGGCGACGTTCAGTTCATCACAAACTATAGGGAAACAAGGAATGATTGAAAATGGATGATTCTAAACGTCAATTTTTAGAATTATATAATGCATATTAATAAGTCTTTCTCAGAAAAACATCAATGTTATTAGAATTGCTATAGTAACAACTAGTGATGACACAGAGGGTAGTGTAATTTGATGGTGGTCGCGTTTATACATTTTCAATGAAGATTTAACTAATTTATCTAATTAAGATTTAAAAGACAAAACGCATTTGAAAATGATCAGGGTATTAAAAAATCTCTTATTATCTGATTTTACAATTCAAAACTTCCATGGAACTGATTTATCTACGAAAATGGGTTATTATTATTTTTTTCAACTTCGGTCACTTTGTTCTAAAAAATGATGAATTAATGGATATCTGAAAATTATTACGTTTTAATTTTGAAGTTACTTTAGTCATTCAAAAATAAAATCACGATGTAAGAACATTGAACACAAAAAATCTCGATGTTAAAAAAACAACGTTAACACAAAATGCATGTTAAATCCATCAATGATTTTATAAACACATCGGCATCGTAGTCGCATCCTTAGAATGCTGTGGAGAGATTCCCGGTGCTGTGCCGAACTTGGGGTGATGGCCAGCGAGCGGATTCAGACACGTGGCCCTCATTTATTCCAGGAAGATCTTACTCTCTAGTGTGGGCACCTGCGCATTGCTCTTTTCCTCACCCACCGCGAGTGTACAAGTACACTGTTGGGCTGGCATCTGGAAACACGGTAACGCGATGCTGAGTCGCGAAATCACGACACGCACATCTCCCGCAAACCTGGGTGAAGCCGTCCCGGCAGTTCGGCACTCCCCGCTCTTCGGGTTGGTACCGCAATAAGTCCCTCCTCAGTACCCACGAGTGTCGGGCGCCGCCACTACTGAGCCGAGGGTCCAACTGGGGCCACCCGTGTTGTTACACCCGGTAGGCACGAAGCCCCCTACCCGTCTCTTCGCTTAGAATGACTGAGTACCAGCGGGCATCTGAGTGCCCGGGCGGGAGATTCCAATTCCACGCCAGGACTTCCCTGTGTGGGGCGACAGCCCGCGGCCGCGGCCTCAACCTCGCGCCCGCGGATTCGGACAGATCATTGGCCTCGATGCGGTTCCGCTCCTTCAGCCGCTGGGCGCTCTGCCGTCCATTATTGGGCAGCGCCCCCCCCCCCGCGCTCTTCTTGCGCTTCTGCGCAGCCATTTGCGTAAAGACGCATCATCGACGAGCTGCGTTAAAGGCGAGCGCCTGCGATGCGCAAGCAGGCGCGGATCAACGGAGCGGCCTGGCGTCCAGGCAGAATCATTCCTTTGGTGAGCTAGCGCTATCGGCAGGATCCCAAGGTTTTAACCCAATTTGTCTCTAGCTCCTTAACGTCATTATTTTCATACACTATCCGTCTCAATCATTGCTAAGTCAAATACGTGAATACTAAGTTCTGAAAGCGACCGAATGATGATCATAAGAAACGTCGAATCGGATTTTCTTTTAAACATTTTAAAGTTGACTTACGGAAACTCACTTGGCCAAGATCGTTAGGACAGTAGTGCCATACCGATCTCGGACTGAAGGACATCGGGTTTGAATCACGTCTCGGGCATGGTTGAATTCATGTTCGTCCTTTCGCCCCCTATCACTTCCATGTCATATCAACTTCGAAATTACCATACCGTTAAATGTAATAGTGATTCTTAATGACCTAGATGTTGATGTGACCTTAAATGACAAGCGACGTTAGTGATATTTGAAAACTGACATTTTCTCTCCCGAGTAATAGAAAACATTTGCATCAGTAAACGAGCAACAGACTTGAGTTGTTTCTAACTAAACAATAACCGTTACCCGTGGCTCTGCTCCTACCACAACTACGAAAAGGAGAGCTCATGAAAAAAAATTCCTCATAGTGAAGCTACATTTATACCCAAGAGCCAACTCAGCATTCGATCAATGTATCAGAAAAAGGAAGAAAGCTTGATTGAAATGAGGCCATTAACCCAGAAACAGATGTACATTATTTGTTACAAATATATTAAGTTATTTCTTAAAATTATCTAAAACAAAATGCAAACTAATGCATTATATATAGTTGATAAAATAAATATTATTTTTCTTTTTGACGATCACAAATAGTCTCTAATTGTTTGAAAAACTTATGTAGCAGAAATGATTGAAAGCATTGATTTAAAGAAAGAAAGACTGGCACCCTCCCTTCATATTCCGCATGCCAGTCTAGGCCAGCGAATTTGCAAAGTGATCATCGGTGACTCTGAACGCTGATTCCATCGCTCGATGGCTCACCACTGACAAATTCCCTATCACTCAGTGTGGCCGACTTGCTGAGACAGAGAGACTCTGGAGAGATCCCTGCAGGTGAGCCACGCATGGTTGGCACCGGATCGCACGACTCACGGGAGCAGGAACACACCACCTCCCACACCGCTACCTCAACCACCTCACGTACTCCACTCTGCCTCACCCTTCCATCGCCTACTACGCATCAGCTACGGACGGCGACGCCATGGTCCAGGATGTGGCCCATTCAAAAACCTGCACGATTTGCTTAAGTGAGCACATGAAATTCGCTCTCAAAACTTGCTCTAATGGAATGCACAAATTAAATGGGTCGATTAAGTGTAAGTTTAAAACGTTTCTCGTGATAGATTGTTCTGAGGAAGAAGCAGCTCTAGAGACCTTAAGAAGCACTCTCTGTATGGGTGTGAGAGTCCCTGGAAAACGACTCCAGCAGGAACCTCGTCCAGGCTGCTCCACTCAATTTCGTCTCATTCCACTCACACGGCCATCTCACCTCCTTACCGCTCGGACTCTCCACCACCACTCTGTGTCTGTTATGGCCCCTACTACCCCTCACATCCCTCTACTTCAGGGAGTTGTCCCGCCTGGGCGTTGCTGCTATGCAAAGAGGGGAAGCAGCGGGCTGTGAGTCCTTGCTGGGCTGACGAAGAGTTGTGACTAAAAATATATTCACGTTCTAATGAGTCCGGAGCACCTTTAATTTACGTTACATTATATTATTTTTACTGCAATCGTAAGTTACCTACAAAAATTACCGATTCATTTATGAATCATGCAATGATGTAAAAATATTTGACTTAAATTTTCAACAAAAAATCTATGACAGCACGTAAATATTTCAAATGTCAAAACATCACCCCACATCAAAACACGATCAAGCGCCGCATTTTGGAGCAACAGAATATGCAGTTTATAACTTTCGAAGTCCACAGCCCGTGCTGTGGGCCAAGCTAACAATGCAGTCTTTTAGAAACAAGGCCGGTTTATTCCGCCTGCTGCCCACTTTAGATTGATTGATGTTTCCAAGCACATCATATGCAACTATCAGAGGTCCCGTTAGTGTAGTGAATATTTTAACTCGAGAGCTGATGGTAGGTTATTCCTGCTCATCTGAATAGAGAGATCTAGCGCCGACGAGCACGTCGGTTTGCAAAATATTTCCGCCTCCAGGTATCTCCCACAACAGCGCTCCGTAGACTATGTAAGTACACGTAAAAGGAGAAGAGGGAAAGATATCGGGTTGTCCGAGGTCTATGGTACTTATCCGGCATTCGCAGGGTATTGGTCATAAGGATCGTGGAATACAACCGATCAGAGCAGCCGTCCGCTAGAAGTCTCCAGTCCAAATAGTCTAATCGAGGAAGCTATTTAGCATACGTTAAAAATCCGCTAGTGCCGGGTCGTTAACCTCTCGTTCATAGGCGGTGCAGAGCGTAGCATAGACGGTGGATCTGAACTAGTAATTCAACGATGCGGTGCGTACTCACCGAGCGGGTCGGTGGGGAGCACCCAGCCGTTGTCGCACTTGGAGCACTTGAGCGTGGACAGGTTGGTGCCGAGCTCCGTGGGGTCGGCGCAGCGCGCGCAGTCGCACGCGAAGTGCTTTCCGCGCAGCAGCTGCTCGCGCCGGATGAGCGTGGGCTCCAGGGCGTGCGTGTACGACGTCACCAGCTCCGCGCCCTCCGCCACCGGCACCAGCGTGCGCACGATCAGCCTGCGCACGCGCCGCGCCCATCACCTCCTTCGCATCTCTCCGGGCAGCCTTCACCTCAGCACTGCGCCTCAGCACTTCACCTCGTCCCGCTACCTCCCATAAAGAAGCCCTTCACATTGATGGCGGATTGCATTAAAATATTTATGTATTTGGCATTTGAGCGTCGGATGAATTCGATGACGAAATTCCTTCGCTGAATCTCAGACCAAATCTTTTTGCATACTCATGTCAAAATCCGCCAACATTTCATTCGTACAACACAAATTTACTTCTTATAATACGTAAATACGAGTAACTACTGGCTGACCATTTTGCATCACATTTTTTCGGCCCTCAAAAAGAATACGATACACGTTCTAAAAGCTGAAGTTATGTAAAGTTCCCTTCTTTAAACGTTTTCTTGCGCCTCACCTGTACTGGTCACGCGCGCCGGGCGCCGACTCCGTGGTGCAGATGGAGTGGGTGGTGTTGGGTACGCAGCGGTGCGACAGCAGCCCCATCTGCGGGTAGAGGCCGCGCAACAGCGACGAGCCTCCCGCCGCGCGCAGCTCGAAGGCGTTCACCTCCAGGTACCCGCACACCGAGTGAATCTGCTCCTCCGAGAACCTGCAGCACACACCGGGAGGAATTATTTCACCTTCAGGTACCCACCAGGCAACTCCAGGTACCCTTGGTTAAATGTGCGCTGAGAGATGAAGTAAACCGCAGAGATGGTGAAGTGGGAGACCGAATTTGAATCATTGCAGACAATAGTTATTATAGTTATTAGGTATATTTATACTAAATTGCTATAGCGGTAATGAAGTTTGTAAACGAAGCGTTAGGTAAGGCGATATGGTAAGGATAAGTATGACCGTTATTTGTGATATCAACCGTTATCCGTTAAATATTTTTCGTAATATGAGCTTCTTAAGAGAAGTCAATATACGAGACGTACCCAGAAAGTAAATTTTCCTGGGTTGTGAACAAATAGGGAACATAGTTTAATGGGAAACATTTATTGTAGCAGATGCAGTACATGTTGTACTATTTTCCACATAATCACTACAGAATTGGGACATTTGACATTCCATGAGATTAATGTCTCCCAATGTTGAGTAATAGTGGGAAAGATACCAGCGCTTTAGAGCCACCTGCAACTTTGAAGATAAGCGTAATGCTGAAGTCAATATAACAATGGGTCACGTACGAGACTTCTGAAGTGTTCGTCAAACGAAGGAAATACATCAACCTAACAAATATAATTCACTCCACATGAATTTTACGATGAGACAGGTTCGGAGTCCACAATGACCCACTCCCACTACGGAGAGGGCTTGTAGCGCGAATGCACCCTCCGTGCGCGTTCGTGCAATGCCCCAGGGTTGTGCCTCCCGTGGAAAGAGCGACCTGTTCGTTCGCTTCTGTGGAGTCGTCCCCCTCGGCGGCTTCCTGTGCGCCCTCCGGCACTGCTGGTCGTCTCGTCGCGGCCCGCACCGCGCGCTGACCCTCCGACTGCCGCGTAGGCGACTCCCGTGTTGACTCTCGAACACTCCTTGACCGAGCCCCTGACCGGACTCGTACGGCGTAGGCTACCGGCCACCAACTGCTGTCTGAGCCCCGGACTAGACTGGGGGGCCGGCGCCCGCCGCCCCTTAAGTTTGGGGGCGAGGCCCTAGAGAACCTCGCCTCGAGGTTTCCCGTGTCGCGGCGTATACTTGCGGCTATACAAAAGGCTGGCCGCAGCAGTTTCCTTCAAATCTTTTTTCATCTGTTTCCTATCTCTTGTTATGCACACATCACTGCAGACCACCTATGAAGGCCATCCACGTCTTGACATTTACGCAGTCAAGTTTAGGCGATTCGATGCACTACTTCGAGAAATACCATGCGTTGTCCGGGTATGTATTTATTACAATTTTCGACTCCACGACCACATAGATCGGGAGACCGGTTGGAATCTTGGGGCTTGTCTCGGCGAGCCATTGCACATATGTGTAGAGGAAAACTCCCTGATACGGCGTTTAGCCTGATCTTGCGTGAACAGGGTAAGGGGACCGCCAACTCTCGGGATATAGCATTCACTACACTTGTGGCATTAATAACCACGTACATTGACATGGTCGGAAACACGAAAAACGCAATGAAAAATCCCAGATGACTTTGGCCTATTCAAAAGTGCCACTGGGCGCATGGCGACACCGCGCCGCCAGGTGCCAGCGGAGCGAAGTAATTAGAGGCGCGTCGGGCGGCTGGCGCGGGGCCCAATGGAGGGCGGCGCGGATCAAAGGGCAACCTGCGAGCCACCGGCGACGCCCTTCGCCGTGCTATCGGTCCCGGGGTTCGATGCCCGATGGCGGAGAGTTCCCACACTAGCTATATCGCTAGCTCAAGTCAGTCGTTTGGAGGAGAATTCTAGCAGTCGACTGCTCTGATCGGTAGATTTCCAGAGTATCTTCCATCAAATACCAGTCGAATGCTAAAGTAGAACCTTAACAAACGGGCCAAGGATTACCTGCGATATTTCCTTCATCTTACTTGTTTTATCATCTCCCCCACGCACACTTACATGCACTTATAATGCACTAGTGTGTAATATTGCACGAGGCGTATAGCTGGAATAGAGACGACTAGAGAAACAAATGAGGGATATCTCATGATCTCTCACTTGACTAACTGCATGTCACTATTTTACTATTTCACTATCCGCGTTGTAATGCCTGTAGGCGGGTCCTCGGAGAATATGGAAGAGAATGGAGGTTTAGTGAGTAAAAATCTCACAAACTGCGTAGTACGGGGTACCCAGAGTCTTTTGAAGATTTCCACTCACCCTCGTAGAAAACGCAAGCACTATATTACCGCACATGTCGGGAGACCATTCCGAAGCTCTTATTATAATTTTGCATTTAAGTGGTTTATTGACTTTGTAATGGGAATTTCTTGTATGTATTTCGATTGTTTTAAACAAATACATATGCGGAATGATTGAATCATGTCACAGAAGAGAAATCAATATGCAGCGTTTTCAATGATTGTGTTAGAGGATACAGTGTCACAAGTAACTTGAGACCGATCGGCAGAACAGAGTTAATTTACCAATTTAACACCCACGATTTTCCTTACTTATAGAATATCATGCACATTCTTTGTAACAAAAATGCTTTACCGGTGTTTATCATTAATATATGTGAAATTGCGAAAATTGCAAATCTTCGAAAAATGCAAATTCGAATATCCCGCAGTTCTATTGTTGAAGAAAGTCTTTCATAACATAGATCAAGAGTTAGTAGACATAATTTTGTAATATTATAATACGGCTATTATCTACCCGTTAAAAATAAAACAAGAATGAATCTGTTGTTTTAGGATCATTTGTTTGTATGAGAAAGATGATCAGGCTCATTTCCTATTTCGTTCTGTGAATTCTTTTAGGTGTCTTTCTCGTGATTTTCCTCTTTTTTATAGTTCTTATTCTCATATAGAATTCTTTATTTTGATTTTTAATATAAAATATATTAAAATAACGTCCAGTATTTTTTGTCTTTCAATGAGGCACTTCTTGAATTGGGAGAGCGGATGTTCAGATTTGTTTCATTACTTTATCTACTTCTTTGGTGACTGTTTTTTTCAAAATTATATATTTTTTATTAACCCAAATCGGAAAATAGCTATTTATGTAACCAGTAATCCAATCAATAAACAACACAGGTAAGCACTAGATTCCATGCATGAATGCTGGAAAATGTACTATAATTTACTTTTTTTAATGAGATTAATTTACCTTACTTTCTGTTTCCACATACGTTTTACTTCTCTCATTTAAATTGATTAGGCGCACAGGTCCCCTAAAAATACAAAATATTGGTCTAAATCGAAGAACATAAATCTTTTTCGGCAACTCATGATACTTGAGAACACGAAAGCTCTACAATGATTTGCATCATAGCTCAAGGCGTTTGCTTATGTACTTACAAAAAACATAAATCTAAATCGAAATCCTGATAGCAAGCTCAAACGTGAACGCCACATTAGATTAGATTACGAATGGGTTTACACGCCTCCTATCTCCAACTGTGTCGGTTTCGGTGTGCGGCTTACTATCTAATCTTGTAACTCTAATGAATGAATATTCTGAATAGAAGAGCAAGTTCTGAGGCACAAACATGATACAATGGTAGATGTTTGCTGAACGATTGTCACCTTGAAAGACACCTTATTGTCGGTTGAGGGAACTCTGCAACTCCTTTGAAACACCTCGGAATTTTGACAATAAACATAGAATTTCAATTAAATATTTCGTTTTCTTTTTAATTCAATATTTGAAGATAAATTAATGAAGATGGTTCAGTCGACACAGATATATTCTATAACAAATAAAATGCCATTTTTTGTATTTACCTTCTGATGTTAATTATTAATTCTACCATGCTTTAAATACGTTTTTTATAATTTGTAAAATAATACAAAATTATGAAAGGCAGAGGATCTAGAAGATTTTATTCGTCATTCTATTCACATTTTAGGATAACCAAGGAACCATTGGGGCGAGAACCTACATGGGGCATTCTTTGGTGCCCTAAACTCAGGTTAAGCCTTAAACCGCGAAATCTCAACGTTATTTGAGGAGGTTTAGTACAATCGGATTTCCGTCCAAATTTTACTTTTCAGATAACTAGACTTCTTTGCTTATTCCGTGCGTGCTACGCACCGAAACACTCGCAGAAGCTGGGCTATTGTTGAAGCGGGTAAGGAGTAGAAGACAAGGGTAGCGATATGGTGTGTAGAGTCAGGTGAGCGGTTTTTTTACACTCATTGTTGCCTAATCAAACTGTGGGGCGCGGTCAATGAGTAACATGTACACTCATTGTTGCCAAATCAAACTGTGGGGCGTGGTCAATGAGTATCATGTAAAAATGTTTCGCATTAATTTCAAAAACGTTGGCCTTTGAACTGTTTTATTACTTATCATTTTTGTCATTCAGTCAACTGGAAAATCTTCGCTGGAAACCTATATTTATGTAGCTAGAATACACAAAAAAATACAGTTTACAATTTAGTCTTCAAGACACAATATTATCATGCTTTTTTTGATGAAATTCATCTATTGTTAGTTTATGTATACGCACAATGAAAGTAACCAATGCAGGGTCTTCGAAATACGATATTTATGGCCTACCTTTTGAATCCGATTGATAACTTAATTCACACGCACATTGTCGTCTGCTTTAGACATGATTTATATCAATTCGTACAATATTATTTTTAATGTCGAAATCAAAAAATATAAACTATCTCTAACTTCTACTTGCATGCCATGAACTGACATTTAGAGGCATTATTAGAGACCTCTCCAGCCCGTATACTTTAATCACTAAGCATTCGAACCTGGAAAAAATGCCGAAATTTTTTTCTCAACGATTCTACGTATTTTGAGGAGTTCTGTATTCGAATTATGTGTTTGACGCCTACGAAAAAAAAATTGCAAAAGTATCACATTTTTTTTTCAATTTTTCACTTATATCTCGAAAACTAGGCCGTTTATTAAAACAACTACTATTTACAAAAATAAAGTGACAAATTTTCCTATGAAATGTATAGTTTATTTTAAATCTTCTGACCACTAGAGC